CACGGTCTCTCCTGCCCGGGCTGGCTTTGAACCACGATCCTCAGATCTCAGCCTCCTGAGTAGCTAGGATTACAGGCGTGAGCCACCAGTGTCCAGCTAAATCTTTTATCTTTTAAACTTATCACTGATTGGGGAAAAACCTTGGACTTAGTGTGCCGAAATAAAATGTTTACTGCAAACATGGAGCCCCTCATTATGGCTCCCCTCCTACCAGGAGGAAATGAAATCTTAATTTCATTTTTAAAATGGGTTAGAATGGAATGCATGCCCTTGAAGTTTTGTTTGTCTGTTTTGCTAGTGTCAGTCCAGGGGCTGGAACTCAGGGCCTGGGCACTGTCCCTGAGCTTTCCTCCCCCACCACCCCTCAAAGCTAGCTCTCTACCACTGCTCCTCCTCCAGTTTTCTGGAGGTTCTGGTCCTGCACAGCTTCAAGTTCTGGCTGCAGAACTAGAAGTTTCTGGCTCCAGCATGTGCATCCAGAAAACACACGAGTCTCCCAGACTTTCCTGCAGGGTGAGGAGGGGGAGGGGGTTGGCTTTGAACCTCCATCCTCAGGGCTCAGCCTGGGGAGTCTAGCTAGCGAGGCTGGTGGGCGTGTCCTCGCTGGGTGGGCGGAGCCGGGGCGGCCTCGGGGGCGGGGCCTGGGGCCGGGTGGCCGGTGGGGCTCAGATCTCGGGCCTGGGCCCGGCTGACTGACGTGTGTGTGCGCTCTTCCTCGGTTGCAGGATGAAGATGAGACGGTACAAGCTCTTCCTCATGTTCTGTATGGCCGGCCTGTGCCTCATCTCCTTCCTGCATTTCTTTAAGACTCTGTCCTACGTCACCTTCCCCCGCGAGCTGGCCTCCCTCAGCCCCAACCTCGTGTCCAGCTTCTTCTGGAACAATGCCCCGGTCACCCCGCAGGCCAGCCCGGAGCCGGAGGGCCCCGACCTGCTGCGCACCCCGCTGTACTCGCACTCGCCCCTGCTGCAGCCGCTGCCCCCGAGCAGGGCCGCGGCGGCCGCCGAGGAGCTACACCGCGCGGACTTCGTGCTGCCCGAGGACACCACCGAGTATTTCGTGCGCACCAAGGCCGGGGGCGTCTGCTTCAAGCCCGGGACGAAGATGCTGGAGAAGCCGCCGTCGTCGTCATCATCGTCGTCGGGGCGGGCGGAGGAGAAGCCCGCCGGTGGTGGCGGCGGCGGGGCGGAGGGC